TCCTGTGAAAGACGAGTGGAGCATCTGAGAGAGATCTCAGTTAACGCTGACTTATTTACTCTTTTTAACAACATGTCTGAGTTTTCTCTTTAACGCCCAGTTTCCTTCTTATCTTGGAAAGTTCAATGATAACTTGTGTCCCGTTGCTTGCTTTTGCTGTTTGTTCCCTACTGTCATTCATATTTGAAGTCCCTACGTGGAAGCAGGCTGGTAAAAATCTTGCTGAAACGTTTTATCGCTGATCAGCGCTTGTCCGAATGGTTTCGGACTAATTAGGGAAGTTTTGTGATTTCCCAATTTCTCATCCAACTTTGAATGGAAACGTGGACAAGCCGATCCAGTCAAGGCGATAATTACATATATGGAGACCAAGAGTGCTAGTTGGTTTCCAAGCAAGTTGTGAGCGCCCATATGACAGCGCCCTGCGCCCTTTTCACTTTCCCCTGAATTTTTGTCTGTAAAGGTAAATTGGTGGCGTCACCACGAATATGTGATTCGTTTTTGGCACAGACACATCTGGCGCCAGTTTGGCGCCACGGTTATTTTTTGCTACTTTTCTCGCCAATTTTGCTCGCTCACAACTTACTTGAACAGTTCAAATAGCACTTCTCTTATTCATATTTGTGACTAATATTCTATTTCTGACTAATATTCTATCCATCGATTTGCCCAGGTCTTCATCGCAAGTTCTATAGGGACTTGAAGGCCTTTCCTGATAGAAGCCGATAAATTGCTCTGATGTCCTTCCTTTCTTCCCCACCTCTTTCTTAATTTCCGGTTTTCCATTTTGAACATTACCTTTTCAGAATCACTAACCTTTTTAGCGGCCATCACTTTTATAATGACAAAAATGCGAAGCTACCCAAAGTTTGAATCCATTTCGGGTAATCACTTTTGTTTCACTGCCAGCTTTTTGTATACGTAGCTTTCAATTTATCTTCTTCGTCCTCAAGTGCTGCAACGCTCTGTGATGGCGTGCCTTCGGTTAACTCTGGCCACTTCTCCGTGGCTAACAACTCCTAACACGGATCGCTAGTATTTTTAGTCAATCTTCTTCCTTGTTCAATACGAATAATTCTTCTCATCAGTTGGGCAGGTGTTGGTTCAGCGGTTGCTAATCACTAAACACTTGTACTTTAGTGACCCTTGTCACCCAATATTCAGCCATCATTATCGATGTCCTCATTCTTTATCATCGCTTGATGCTCTGCATTATCACTTTGTGCCTCAACGGCCGTCAAATTTTTGAGCGGGTAGCAGAAAGTCATTCATTTCTTTCGCAATCTGAGGTAGTGCAGTGGACTACTCATTTTGCTCAAAGAAGCAAGTATTTAATTACAGGCAGTTCACTCGGCTCGTAAAGTCCGACACCGGCTTCAGCGTATAGGTGCATTGTTTAGAGCAGCCCCTTTCCCTAAGATAGCCCGGGATTGAATAACATTCTGTGCTTTGAAGAGAAATGAGAGGAATCAGTCGAAGTAACAGTGGGAGGGCCAGGAAGAGAGAGGGAATCATAGGGATACTCTTTCATGGAAATCTAAGGAGCGCACTCAAAGCAACAACCCCAACAGAAGTCGTGTCGAAGAATCTATTTAGTGGGTGGGATAGAGTAGCCCGAGTATCACACATGTGATGTTATCGCGTCTCGAAAGTGCGCGACAACGGCGCTAGGGCTTTACAAAGTTGACTCATGACGGCTAATCTTAACTTATGGACGAGATACTTCTTCGTGCACAACCCACGATACACAGCATGAATTGTGGCGCAGCGGCTGATTCAAATTCGCGAAGGTTGGTGTAGCCGTCCGTTTTCCGCCCCTTTCTTATTTCTAGGAAGATGAGAGGGGATACTGAATAGCTTCATCAACGTTTTTTTGTTTCTTTTTTTCATTTTAGTCAACTCGGCATACACATCTCCATTATAGCTGTGAACCCACAAATTTGATCTGGGGGTGTTGCTTCAAAGGAATCCTTCTCGAAAGAATAATGATTCCATCTCACTCATGAATCAAGTGGCTTGAGACCCATCATTAATGATAAGAACGAAAAGTACAAAAAAAACTGAATCTGGCAAATAATTTGAAAAACCGGAAAGACTGTTACCTTGTCGGTTGTTCTTT